CTCTCTCATGGATTAGTTTTCGTAGCTTTCTAATCTCTCTCATAACTTTCATTCTCTCAAACTCAAAACACTCGAAAGATCTTTACACTAGCTTTTAGCGTAGTGCATTGGGCAATTTCGAACTGTTTGCTGTGTTCTTTGGGGAAGACGATGGACAACTGAGGGTGCCATTTGGTCTTATTGACGGCATCTACAACCATCCAGACGCTTACGTATACTGCGGAACGCATGCTTTCCTTGAGCCATCTTCATGGTGAAGGAATAGATTGAGGGTAGCTGAAAGCTATTGTGTTTGTTAACAAAATGCACTACGCTAAAAGCTAGTGTAAGATCTTTCGAGTGTTTTGAGTTTGAGAGAATGAAAGTTATGAGAGAGTTAGAAAGCTATGAAAACTAATCAACGAGAGAGATCATCATCAAGGATTGTAGATCTGGTTTCCCGCGGGAGACTGTGAAGTGTGTATAGAGTAGGTTTGGTAGTAATCCTACGTCTTTCCACGATCCTAAAACGGAACGCGTGGAAGGTTTGTCTAGCCTGGATTCTAGTAGCGTGGAGTACTCCACGCTAGCTAAATATCTAGAGCGATGTTTCATCGTCAATCTAGTATGACTAGCGCGGTCATTGAGAACCCTGTCTCAAATGACATATTCACGAGAGACTCAGTCATGAGTCGAACTCAAACCCTATCTAGGATCGAGTCGCGAATAGACTAAGAGCGTGTATTGCATTCGCCCCTGACAAGGGTCACAGAAGGCGCGACAGCAGTCGGACAAGGAGAAATATTAATTAAAGTGCGGGCACTCTCATGAGATTTGGATGTAGACATGTGCGTCGCACGATGGCAATCCTACAAGGGGATCAGGCCTTGTATGGGTGTATATACCTTATGTTCAAGTCTGGTAGACTGTGCCGCCGTTGGCGGTAGCATGTTGGAGCTACAGTGCCATTGTCATTGACTCGGTCTATAGTGTAAGGACCTTTGTACTGGGCTGACCGTACTTGCGTCTGATACTGTTGAATCATCACAGTTATCGTTGACATTGTATTGATGAGGGACACGCGTTGCGTTTTCCTATCGTTGTTTTGTTGGTTAGTCGTTGGCGACGTTCCTTAATGTACTTTCCAGTTGGCTTCGAACCGGACGTTGTGAATCGCGTCACGATTGAACACGAGCTGTGCAGGCGTTGCGCGCAAGGTGGTATGAATCGTGGCATTCATTGCAAAGCGAACCGCCGTGAGGACTCCATCCCAGGATCCATTCACGAGGTCGTCTTGGCACTTGATGTTTTGAACAGCGATCAAGTTACGTATGGTTTGTAGCACGCTCGACCATAAGTTGGCTTGAGGGTTACGCGTCGTAATGAACTTGCGACGAAGTCCATATTCATCCCGGAGTCTTTCGACCTCTGCACGGAACTCCGTCCTCTATCCATGATACCTCAGCGGGCCAGGATTCCGGTAAGCCACGTTTGTTCTAGGACGATGGCTACTTCGTCTGCTGCCTTGGAGCAGATCTCTGCAATCTCGAACCATCCGTTACGGATCAATCATTGTCAAGCAATGAAGTGTGCAGGAATTCTTTTTCTTGGGATCCCCGACGTTTAAGGGCCTATCAGGTCAATACATAGTCTTTCCCAAGGGATCTCCTCGCAAGTCTTTGGAGGCATCAATCCCAGCTTACGCGTCTTGGGTTTGTTCATCTGGCAGCTTTGGCAACGCTGACATACGGTCTGCACAGTCCTGCGCAGACCCTTCCAGGTGTAGTGTTGGCTGATGGTTAGCTCCGTGGCGAGTCTCGCCAGGATGCATCAGCACACCATGGTACCATTCAACTAGCTTTTTCTGCATAGTTTTAGGTACGACGATTTTCTCGTCCTTAACTACTAAGTCGTAGGACTTATCCCCTCTGGGGAAAGATTGCTTCTTTAGTCGTTTGGCTTGTCCTGAGGAGCTTCTTGATATCGTTGTCGTCTTTCTGACGATGTTCGATCTCAGGGAACGAGAGAGGGAATTCGCTAGGGAAGTCCTCTTCGTCTGCAGCCATGAGCTCAGCGATCTCGCTGGCGTCCATTCTGTTCTGAAGAACCGTCGTTGTTGGAGATGTTAAGTCTCGACAACGCATCAGCGACGTGTTCTGTTCGCCTTGATGTACCGTAGTTCAGGGCCGTATTCTTCCAGAATAAGGCGCCATCACATTACGCGATCGGTATTAAGTTCTTACATGTAAGATTCTTGTGGTCCGTATGTAACGAATCTTCTGTCCTAGAAGAATATTACGGAACTCTTAGAGTTTCTACGATACTGAGAATTCCTTCTGTAACTGTGTAAGTGTCTTGAGCAGGGTTGAGCTTCCTACTGTAGAACGCGATAGGTTTTCCCTTCTGGGAAATTACTGCACCTAGTTGAGTGTCACTCGCATCCGTGTGGATAACGAATGTGTCATTGAAGTCAGGGTAGGCGAGCAAGGTTTCTTTGCTGATGATCTTCTTCATCTGGCTAAAGGCCTTGTCGTGTTCCGCTTCCCATTTCCACTTCGTTGTTTTGGAAGTCAACGAAGCGAGTGGAGCCAGTACATGTGATCGTCTAATCACACTGTCTCGATAGTAGTTCACTAGTCCAATGAATCTACGGGTTCCTTCCTGTTGGTAGAGGAGCGATATTCTTGATGCGTCTATTTTCTTGGTTATAGGTGGATCCCTTCTCGAGTAATCCAGTAGCCTAGGTACTCAAGCTCTCCTCTTGCGAAGAAGGATCTTGGTAGCATTGATCTAAGTCCGTTCTCGAAGCCGTCGGAGACTTCCAATTTTACGTGATCTGTAAGTCGCTACTTTTTATCGTTGTGAAGCTCATTGAAGTTGGTCTCCCGCGGGAGGCCTCGAAGTGTGATATCGTAGGTTATGGCAGTAACTCTACGTACTCCATGGTCCATTTCCGGAACACGTGGAAACTTCAGCTAGTAGCTATCTAGTAGCGTGGAAGCTTTCCACGCCGGCTAAATATCTAGAGCGATGTTTCATCGACAACCTAGTATGACTAGCAGTCATGAGAACTCTGTCTTCAATGACTATTCGCGAAGGACTACGTCATGAGTCGAACCCAAACCCTATCTAGGACCGAGTCGCGAATAAGGCTAAGAGCCGTGTATTGCACCAATGATTTAAGAAAGCAAGTGAAACAGACATTGACTGTTGCATTGGCGCTGGAGATGGTATGCTTCTGTGGACGGAGAAGCCACACCAGTCAGACTGTGACATAACAAACGTTGCTCCCAAGAGGTTCCATTGTGGTCGCAAACACAAGTTTGGATTGAACTTACAGGGGTTTTGCCACCATGAGAAAAGATTTACGTCCGTGGCTATTGACCATCCTGCAGCAACTTCTGACTATCTTTCCTTTTCAACCAGTACGTTCCACCACTAGCTTGAAAATGGTCTTCTTCATAAGGATCTGTGTATGTTCGGGGAAAATGCATACGTCAACACACCTTACATGGCAACTCCTTACAGGAATGTGGGGTCAGGTCCCAAAGATGCATACAACTTTTACCACTCACAGCTAAGGATCAAGATCGAGTGCACCTTCGGAATCCTTGTCAATCGATGGGGCATCTTGCGTAGACCACTGTCGGCAACAATGGGATTGAAGAAGGTTACTGCATTGGCCGTTTGCCTTTGTCGACTCCACAACTTTTGCATCAATCGAAGGCTTGGAAGAGATGAGGGAGTGCCGGAATCATTGGCACAGGATAGATTGAATCAAGAGGAGGGATACCACTTGTTGCCACCATGCTCAATGATAAATCGCCAGAGCAACTGTTGCATGGTGGTGAACACTTTGATGATGTCGATCGAAACTATAGACGACAGGGAGAACGTGAATACAGGAGACAAGTAAATATCATGCCACGAGAGAAGCTTCTCGCAATAGTGGATGAGTTAGGTGTCATGAGGCCAACACCTGAGGCATGGTCGAGAATGGAAGAATAGAATTAACGTGTTAGTTGACGGTCAAAGGAAACATTGTCTTTGGCATCTTACCTAGTCAGTTCCAGTATCGGACGGAGTAGTCTTCTTGCTTTTGGACTTGGTCTTGACTTCATAGCTTTTTTTACGGCGCTTCAAGCCTTTTACAATATCTTCCTGTTCTTTGATGCTCTCTTGCAAGATCTGTTTCTCTTCTTCACTTGAGGATTTCACCTTCTCAATTTTTGATCGAGTAAGCTCTTTGTTGGCAAGTGTCAAGTTCTCAATGACTGCTTGATACGAGTGTTCAACTTGAGAGTTACTCAAGCTCTTTCGAAGTTGTTTAAGCTCAGGATCATCCTTTCCCTTTTGCTTCCTTTTGGTGGTATTGGTTGCAACTTGGTCACCACTGCCCGCCACATCATCGCTCATCCTGGTGACCACACTACTCAAGTTGCCATGTTTATCAGCGAGATGTCACAGGTAAAGATGAAAAGACTTGTGTCCAAGCCTTTCCATGCAATACTCTGCTCTGTTGTCACCTGCCAACATTTGTTCTTCGGTAAGATGGCCAAAATGTCTTGATAGTTCAGCCTCTTCCTCATCGTTATCTCCTTGAGGCTCATGATCAATTTGTCCGTAGCCATTTCCACTTCGCTCCCAGGCATTAACGATCTTGTTGGTCTTGAGTTTGGCTTGGTTCCATTGTCTCTTGATGAAATCTGCCGTGACTTTACCAGGACAATCCCTTTGGTAAATGTCTTGCTCAATAATAAAGACGCGGTGAAGATGTGGTAGTTCTTCCACAGTTGCCACCCAAAAGTCATCATTGTACTTGTTCGCAAGAGCTTCCCAAAAGGTTGGTGGCCGTTCGTCACTATTCCTTGCATCCAGTTCGGGTCTGTCAAGCACAGCTCCTTCTTCCAGCAAGTACTTTCGCACATCATCATGATGAGCGGCAACTATCATTCAAAGGTTCGGCAATAGCTTGTTCCTCCATGGCTCGTTAGGATCGTCTGATGGTGAGTCCGCATCTTTCTGAGCTGCGGCCTCTGCAAAATTGTTTTGCGTCGCAGTACAATAAGACATTTCGGTTTGACGAAGGAAGGAAATGCAAGATGGCTCCTTGATGAGATTGTCACTCAACCATTTCATCAGTTTATCCTGTTTCCAGTTGCTTGGGCGGACTCTGTTGCACTACGCTAAAAGCTAGTGTAAAGATCTTTCGAGTGTTTTGAGTTTGAGAGAATGAAAGTT